CAAAATCTTCACTTTTTGCCTCAGGAGTCCTCGAAACTCAGCAAATTTTTTAGTTTTATCCTATATTTCCTGATAAGAATTTAGTTCTTTCAATTTAATCAGGTGTTTAATTCTCTAACTAATACAATTTTTAAATAAATTTTCGCCATTTTGCCTTAGGAATCCTCAAAATCTATCAAGGGTTTGTTTTTAATTCAAAATTTTGAGCGAAGCCTGGCTTTCTTAACCCGTCCAGGTGCTTAATTTTACCCGGTGCGGAGATTTCTCTGAAAAATCCTCACTTTTTAACTCAACTCAGAGTTCGGTAGTATACTTTGTTTTTAATTCTAACTTCTGGGCAGAATTTTAACTCTAGTAGTCTGCCTATTCAGGTGCTTAGCTTTTTTGTTTAGCACAGAAGCCTCTCAGATGAAGCCTCATTTTTTTGCCTCATAAACCGTTGAAATTCAGCAGTCTTCCATTTTTTTAAATACAAATTTCCTGCGATTTTTCCTGCTTTCTTTCAGTGCTCGATATGCATAAAAATTTTAACATCATTTCGTGAGTTCTCATTTGGTGCCATTTTATTTGCCACTGGAGTGCCTGTTTTTTGTTTTCAAGTGGAAAAAAGTAATGGAATCTTGCAGATTAATTTTTTTTTCTTTCAGCTGTTCGAGATTAAAAAATAAAATGTGGTCAAAATGGACACATTAAAGCTTCGTGTTTTCTTCCCTGGCAGCTCGTTTAATTTGAAAATTTCTGTGAATTTCACTCTTTTTTTGAAATTTCTTGGAGATTTCGAAAAAATTCAGCCGATTAAGTTTTCAGATGTTTTCTGCGGAAATTTACTTCGAAATTTCCTCCTGTCAAAAAAAGTCGGCTTTATCAATTTCGGATGAATGAAAATCGCATCAACGCCTTTTTCATTCCTCAACCTTCTCTCTTTCTCTTTGTCCTTTTTTCCTGCCCTTCTCCTCCGAGAATTGACATATTTGTCACAGTGTTAATTATAACATTCGTATTAGTTAAAAAAGTTCATATCTGCAAGGCGGCCAGTTCGATTCGCCCATTCGTTTCTAGTTAAATTGGTACTGGCATATGCTAATGGGGCAGACCGCTATCAGCTTGCTTGTAAGCAACCATCGAAAGAGGTAGCCAACCTTACCAGCATGTGACTCCTCTTTTCACGTGCTACGGAATGGTTTCAAATATTTTCGCTTCTCATAGAGAGCAAAAACGGAGGGAGTTTTGACTCTGATTTGACTTTTTCTTGAAAAAATGCGTGGAAAACCCATATCATCTCTCTTTACACTAAAATTGTCCGATTACAATTTAGTAACGGGTTGACCTGCATTTCCACATAATTTATTTCTCCTGATACGCTTATTGCTTTTTGCTTATGTGTTTTTCTCGCATATTTAGTAAATATATTAATGTGCCGTTATTTTTGCACAATTGCGCGAAATCAGTTCGATTTTTATTCACAGATAGAAGAGAAGGGCTGTTGAGCACAGTAAACGAGCACGAACCTGCCATCCAACATTGCTCTGGAGGAGGCTTTCTGGATCAGCGATAGCCATCCTGAGAGATTTTTGCCGTATGTACAGTCTGCACTAATCTGGATTGATATCGTTACTTTTCAATAGCATTGTTGCTGAACTGCTATTTCTGTCATCGCTATCGTCACTGCAATAATTTCATCATCATTATTATTATTACAGTAAGCCTGCTATCATTATCATCATTAAGCCTGTTATCATTATCATTACTGCAACAATGTATGTGAAAGAGCAGCGCCAACAACAACATCACTGTAAGGTTTCTTATATGTCAAGCAAAAAGGACGATTTTATTGTTGGAAGTGGGCAGCTTCTCTGGTATTTTGTTTCGAAACAAGCACAAATCATATTTGGCAAAATGTAAAAATTTTGCTGCCACAGTAACAGCAACTACTACTGCTGCTATATTAATTTGCTATTACAGTAACAACCGCTGCTACATTACTTATTGTTGTTGTTGTTGCTGTTGTCGTTGTTGTTATTGTTATTGCTGTTGATGAGAACGATGCCACCAATGCTGCTGCTGCTGCTGCCAGTAATCGTGCTGTTATTGCTGTTTTATTACAGCTAGCATGCTTTATCGACGTGAAATATTTGCTGGATGTAACCTGGATATCCCCCTTCTTTTCTGTCTGATCCAGACCCATCGATACGACTCCTCAATTGAACTAAAATATCAATTGGCATCTGATTCTCAAGAACGACGTTCATCGAGTCATTTTCTCGCTCTTCCAGCTTAACACTATATCATTTTTGAGCAGTTCCAGCATATTGTCAGAGCAGACTTTTTACACTTTTTCGTAACGCGCGTTTTCGATTCATTGATAAAGTAACAAAAATTCGGGACAGAAACGAACGGTAGACGAAGTCCGGAAATATTCCGGAGCATTCTGGATTTCTTGAATTGCTCTTAATCACTATATCACTGCAACTGTTACTTCTGCTGCTACTGCTTCAAACGCAACTTGATGATTAGGTGAGTACCCCTCCAAAAAAACCTCACGTGCGCATGGCGTATTCGTTATGAAAACGGCGGTATTCGGTCACGACGAGATATGCGATGACACATCATTGTCGCTGAACAGCGGTGCGGTACCACCGCTCACATTCACGCCACCAGCAACACTCTCCGTTTCCGCATCTTTGCCAATTCGCCGAAGCGGATGCAGCGTCGTGAATGCGGTGGGCAGCTACCGGCCTCATCATCCGCGACGCACCTCACGTATGCAAAATGTAAGCTTATATCCGTCTGGTAAACACAGAGCTTTTTTGATCACTTGCTTTTTCCGCCCACTTTTTCTTCGCCGATCACATTTTTGCTGTTTTTTTGTACTTTAAATGCTTTAAGTTTTCAACTCGAAAATATAAAAGTTGTAGAAAAATGGGTAGTGAAAGTGAAAATAAAGAAGACTTTTTAAACAAGGTTGCTTCCGTTAATGCGATGGTGATGAGTCAAAAATCAAAATCGTTTCTATGCTCGCTCCATGTGAGAGGTGAACGCACTCAAGAAGCAGTCCGAATGGTAGCAAATGCCTATAACAACCACTCGCTGATAAGACTCTCCATGTCTCTCTTTCGAGGATTGTTTACAAGCAACCTGATGACGAGTTTGGCATATGTCAGTGTCAGTTTATCACCGAAGTGAGTGAACGAATTGGTCATCACATTGGGTGAGGTGGAAGCGTCAACTTACCGCAGCATACCCGCCGGTTTTTCATATTTCCCTCAAAAAAGTAAATTATGCTAACGAAGCTTTTGAGGCTTGGTCTACCTCAGTGTAAACTTTTATTGTCAAAAAATGGATAAGCGCTCTGTGCTTCTAAAATACGCATTTTAGCTCTTGAGAACTATTAGGGATTTGTAGTTTACTAAGTTCATATACTTCTGCCTTTCATTTAACTATCTCTTGCACTTTAATCTGACCTCAGCAACCAATACGATTTGCGTTGTAAGACAAAAACGAAATTGCTTACCACGTAGGAACCATCCAAGGTTGCATTTATTGGCGTGATTCTTCCTTTTTTCCTGTTGTAAAATGAAGCGAAGCAACAATCAGCTGCAACATAAATTTCGGAGATATCAGTAAAAAAATTTTTTGAAATTAATATCGAATTTGATAAAACCAATCCCTGTGCGACTCATTCATTTGTTTCAATGGTATGCTGGTACTAGAATTGCCAATTAGTGGTCGCTATTGGTATTTGCTGCCACACGTGCTACTTCCAGAGTGCTTCAGCCTCTCAAAGAAAACAACTACTAAAACCAAACTTATTTGTACATCCAAACACCCAAAACAGCCTTGGAATAATAATAAATAGCAGTATTTATTGGAAGTAGGCCGAAATATCCTTTTTTTCTTCATCTGATTTTTCAGTATGATTTTATATTTTTATATGTAGATCTGTTATAACTATGTGTCTTCGCAAATTAATCTGTTGCACATACCAGCTTGATGAAATTAGCCAGTGCCTAAAATGTTTTGCAGTGATGATAATTCAGTGGGTTTAGCTCTTGTGTAGGGCGAAAATTTCGAATTTTCTAGATTGTTCAGTTCTGAAATTTGCAAAAAGCAACCTGCATTTGGGCCTAAATTCATGCAGATATAAACC